AATAAAACATCGACAATGGGTCGGACATTTTTCTTCTTTTCTCATATAAATTTGGTCGTATAAATAGATATATGTATAATATAGGTGTAGATGTATTTCAATGTTCATATACAAATGACAAATATTTGTAATAGGATAAAGCCACTAAGGCATTCAATTTTTGCGAAAAATAATGCGCATATGTGCCACTATGAAAGTTAGTAGTGCTAAATTGTTAGTAAATGCTTCTCGTTTCACATCTTCAGTTTTTTCTTTGGACAAGAAATTAATTAAGAAATCACGGAATCTTTTTTAATCACCCAGCTTTGAGGTAAAAGGAGGTAGCAGCATCGTTTCCATTACCTGGTGGTGATATCATCTAGTATGTCTCTGTGCGACCTGACAGAGTGTAAACAGTGCAGCTCAACAGGCCAACAAACCGCAGAAGAAGTGCAAACTGTCCTCCAGACCCTGCCCCCCCTCCTGTTCCTTTCAGGCAATTCGTTGCAGAAAAGCGGAAAATCCGTCAGGGCAGCACGTGAGGCAGGCAACTGATGTTTTTTCCTTTTTCGTTGCTGCTGTTGTTGTTCGTTTTGTAAGCACTGCACACACATACACACGCGCACGCATACCAAATGCTAAGAGCGTAATGTATCTCACAGATATTTAATCTAATAAAAGGTTGGCTCCTCTACAGCCACGGCTTGCATTTAGCTTTTGACTAACGCAGCGGAAGCATTGGTTACAAGCTGGAAGCAAAAAAAAAAAAAAAAACAAAAAAAAAAGAAAAGGGAACGGTATGTCACCCCAGCAGGGTATAGAACGGCGTCTGGGGTTAAGAATGGACCCGCACTCACACACACATACCGACACACATACACAAAGAGAATGAAGCTCTCGGGACGGCACGCACGGCATGCGACAAACTGCGTTGGCGGCTGTGGCTGCGGCTGCGGCTAAAGTTAAAGTTATTCCCCTTTGCTTCTCAAAGTGCTGCTGCTGCTGTGTGTGAGTGTGTGTGTATCTGTGTGTGTGTGTGTGTGTGAGTGTCTCCCCTTATGTTTGGGGTGTTTGGGAATTTATTTATTGGCGCAGCGTTGCCACCTCTGGACAACATTTTACGGGCGGCTTTATGCACCTGCAGCGACCGTCGAGTAATGGGTTAAATAAAAAGCCAACTACCAACTGCTGTGCAGCGGGCGTGTGCAGAATACAACAACAAGAACAACAACAACAACAACAAATACTATGTTTTAACTGCGGCTTTAAATGCTTAATTGTAAAATAGTTTGCCGCTAAGCTAGTGCAGTGTCTCCCACCCAGGAAACGCCCACAGTTCCTGCTACTTGTTATGCCATTTCATTTAGCTGCTTTTTCTGCACTTCGCTATATTAAGAGGAGTTGCCATAACTTTGTGGCACGGTTGGCAACGCGTGGCACAACTAAGAAGAGTCACTTGTATATATATATTGTAAAGAATAGTTTGTATAAAATATAAATAAATAAAATTGGATTCTTTCCTGCTTGTTCGTGTGAAAACTTCTTAGACCGTACTCGCGTACAATAAAAATGTGATGAACATTATGATGGACTGACAAGTTATATTATGTACCCGAATCTGCAATTAACAATTATGATTTATAATTGAAAATACCATAAAATTCTAGAAATCTTAAGTAACATTTTTAAGTTTTCCTTAGGATCTTGATTGCATATACATTTTAAAAATCAAATGCCATGTTACTGACAAGACGAATACAAATGGGTCTCAAATAATCTAGAAAACCCGAAACTAATTATATTTCTTTCGCTTAATCTACAATATTATTATTTATAGCTAACAATATAATAATAAAATATTTACTCCTTTTCATTTTGAATAGATTGACTTAACTTTTTAGGGAATAGCTTAATTTTTAAAACATCATCATTGTCTGTTATTTTTATGTTTTTCGTAGGCCTGCACATGTTAAAAATTAAATGCCATGTTACTGACAAGAGATATATAAATGGTTCTCATATAATCAAGAAAACCCGAAACAAATTATATTTCTTTCGCTTAATCTACAATATAATTATTTATAGCTAAAAATATAATAATCAAATATTTTACATTTTGAAAATATCGACTTAACTTTTTAAGGAATAATTAAATTTTGAAAACGCATTCATTGTCTGTTGAAGTTCGGGTCTTTTTGTTTTTTGTTTTTGTAGAGCATTTCCGTATCGTCTTTAGCATAAGTGCCAATCATTGCTTGACTCGTCTTGTTTGTCTGCCTCCAGCTGGCTATATCCTTTTCGGGCAGCAGGCAAACCTTATCCAACAACTTGGTAATTAAAGCGAAATAAACTGTGGGTGTCGGCAGCAGCAGAAGCAGGAGCAGCAGCAGTATCCTTGCAATCCTTTAAATGTTTGTCTAGCTGTTGGTGTCGTATCTTTACCCATGCCGGCTGCCCAAGGTCTCCTTATCCCCTTGCTACAATTGCTTCACTCTACTCTCTGCCCCCGCAACCATCTCTCGCTTATATAGTATATCAGGTTATGGGCGTGCCCTCCATAGTTGTTGTTACTGCTCTTGTTGCTGCTGCTGCTGTTGTTGTTGTTGCTGCTTTTGTTTGCCATTCATCGTCGCTGGCAACATCGTCGCAGTCGTACTCGGAGCACTCTTCTTCGTCCTGTTGTTGTTGTTGTTGTTGTTCGTACAACGTAAAATTAATTTGCACAGCCGTTTTTCATTTCGTTTGTCGCTTCAATGTTTAATGTCTGTGTGTGTGTGTGTGAGTATGTGGGTGTGTGTATGTGTGTGTGTGTCTGTGTGCATAGCGTGCGTTCCTTGCATATTTTAGCTAGATTGCATTCATTCCAAATTCATCGCCTCCTCTCCCTCCCCTTTCCCCACCCCCCACACTTCATGCTAACCATGCTCCAACACTTCTCCATTGAAAAGGCGCTACAATCTTTAACGCTCCGTTAAAGAGACAGAGACAGAGAGGAGTGGGACACGACAAAGCACGACACGTCTAAAGGTAGATTTATATTACTGGTCTAGTAGTATAAGTATATAGGCATGCCCTGCCACCTCGACGCTCACGTAGAACGGCATTTAATGCGCTGCCAGCAAATTTATAACATTTTTAATGCAAATTTCTATAAAATTAGCACAACGCGTCGCAGAAGGAGTAAATTTCTTTTATGAACAAAAGGCAAAGCCGACGCGACGCAACGCGGCAAACGTCTTAAGTGGACTCATTACAAGGTGCGGGCGGGCCAGGGCCTGAACGGGTCAAGAGTAGCGGCCATTAAATTGAATAGAATGAAATGGGGAGGAGAGATTTCTGGGCATCTTGGCTTTTGTGCAGCAGCTGCTTTTCCCTTCCCCCACCCCCTACCATTCACTCATTCGAGTCGCTTGCAGCGAGCTAAGCGATTTTGTTTAGTGCGGCTTCTTCTCCTTTCACAGCTAGCCATGTTGAAAACGCTGATGGTCTGAAGGGCTTATGCGTTTATGGCGTTTGTTAAATAAATAACAGTAGAGTTTTCTTGAGCAAGTGCTAATTGGCCAACAAAGTGTTAACAAGCACTAAGTCCATAGACGGGCTCCATTGTCCATTGCTGTTGTAGCTCTTGGGTCCACTTACATTCGCAGAATATGGTCAAGTGTTTGCTTTTCTTGTGCAAATAGTGTACAAAACGGCACTTGAGAAATTTTTAAGCTAACCCTAATGTGACGCAACACATTTGCCCATAGAGTTTTGGGGAGTGCTTCAAATAGATGTCATGCAGAGTCAATATTATGGCAGCGCTTAAATTAATAATCAACACAGCCAACGAGCTTACTTTTGATAATAACCAAAACAAATAATAAAGATCACTTTATGAGTTCTGATCGTAGCATGATATTTTGGATATCTTTTTAATAACAAGCTACAAATAATTCTAAACTGGGAAGAATTTCACAGTCGAGCAAGTCCGATAGAGATATACCCTGTATTATATGCGTTGTTAACAACGCGACTAGAAGAAAATAGAAGTCGCTGCTCTACTATAGTTTATGGGCGTAGCGCTAGAGTAAAATTTGTTTGTTACTTTTTTTTAGAATCAAGCACATTTGAGGAAATCTAAGTTAAAATTAAGGAGAATTATAAATTAATTAATTGCTGTGGAATTATGAACAGTGTTGTAGAAACTCTGCAGCGGAGAAAGGAGGGGGGGAATTCAAAAAATGAAATAAACTAGTATTGCCTAGGGATTGGGAGCGTCTACATACCAAGTAGGATCAATGTGGGCTCAGCCGCTTCGGAAATACAGACGTTCATACATACGAACAGATAGACAGACATTTTTAGATCGATTTGTCTATAAATAAGTATAAAAATAAGAAGTTTTGCCTTTAACAGTAGCAGAAAACTCATTTCCAAAACGCAGTCTATAAAGGTACTAACTAATATCAAATCAAATGTTTGTGGTGGGCCGCATGGAGGCTGTTTGTGTAGGAATATTACAATGCGGCATATTATACGACTGTATATAAGTTAGTGAAGAAGAATACATTAGATTCCCAATTTAGGTCTCAAGCCGGCAACTGTTTTCCAATCGTTCAGTCAAGAGTTTCTTCATTTATTTAAAAACTGGTTTTTATACTGAATAAAATTTATTACGGCTCCACTTAAAATAAAAATAATATAAAAATATTGTTAAAATATTGCAGATAACTACACTTTAAAAAGGAACCTCCAAAGAAGTCTTTATAGTCGATATTTATTTTTATTTAAGTGTAGAATTCTTTTTGGTTTTTTGATTGAAATTAAACTTTTTTTAAATTTCTCTAATTTGTATTTGTATTTGCATATCAAAGAAACCATACTAAGTGAAAATCATCAAACATTTGTCATAATTTTAATTTAAACACAAAATTAGGTAATTGTCCAACCCAGGACAAAATAAACAATATAAAAAGTACATTAAACTATATCACATTTGTGGTGGGCCGCATGGTACTGATGTATTCATTTTCCTTCAGACATTTCAGCGGACATAACGAATGATTTGGAGCAGAAAGTATATCAACAATAAGTCAGTGACGACGCGCAAAGGTTTTTGCAGTCATATATTCTATGAGCAAAGTAAGTAGACTTCATAATTTATCGAGTTTATAGTTAACTTCTCAGATTATGTTGTAAGAATTGAATTCTCATGCGAAGCCGTAAAAAACAAGACAATCAAAAGCGGCTAGAAATAAAAATGATAAGTTATTTTTATATTTTTTGGGGAACTACCATAGCCTGTCATATAAATGTATTTGCGCAACAAACCAGTTATGACTTTCGTTCTTTGAAATTAACATGCTTATATAAAACAGCGAAATGTTTCGAAGGCCATTGACCATTTCTTATTTTTATCTTTATTTGGCGTAGACAAATGCAAAATGCCTAAACAAGTTTTTGTTGAAGTGGGAATCTAAAGCAAAGGGATATAAACCTTATACATACTTGACCATATTTATGCATATTCGGATTCGTATGCGTATTATCAATTTACAATGTTAGGCAGCAGCCACTTATGAACTCTCAGACGTGCTCAGGTCTCTGCCATGGAAATGATTGCTAGTCCCTTTAATATAATTTGTAAGTGTGTGTACATTGAGAAATAATCAATAGTCTCTCTAAGCTGCTTCAAACCCTTTTTCATTATTTTATTTTATTATTATTATCTTTCTTTGGTGGATGGAGTAAAGAACCCAAAACCATTAAGCAGACAAACTCAACAGGGGCATCAACACGCGCATTATATTTGACAAACTCCCATGCCAATTCAATATTACGAGTACTCGTATATTATCGGCCTGGGTAAATAGAAAAACTTCTGCGGCGATGGAAAATTGGCCGCTTAAAAGCGAAAAGCGGAAAGCTTTCATTCAATATTTCATTTTATGATGGCAGCAACCAAAAATAAACCACTTGACCAAAATTACACCTCTAAGCGAATCGCAATAGCCTGACGCCCAGTCATAACTCCTTCAGAGTGCTCAGGCATTGGCCTAGAGGATGGGAGATGGCGATGGGTGGCAGAATGTGGGGTGGTGGGGCAGCTATGTGTATGGCCACAAAGTCGTGTGGCAGCCACCAAAAAATTTATAGACAAACTTGTGCCGGCTCACACAAGCAGAAGTAGATGCAGAAGTTTTGCTTGAATATAATATTCATAAATTTAATCCCAACAAACACTTTTCGTGTATTTCGTACGCTTTATTTTCTGTTTTCGTTCAGCTCTGAGCTCTCATCTCTCCCCCCTCCCCACACCTGCTTAGCTCGGTTGGCTTGAGTCGGCGCGGTTTGTTTTGGTTCTTGCCACGTTTATCACTGAGGCGACGTCAAGTATTCCACTTTTGCAACATTTTCCGGCTTTCGTTTCGTTTTTGGTTTCGATTACGGTTTGGTTTGGTTTGGTTTGCATTTTTGCTTGCTGTGTTTTCTTTTTTTTATATCTTGTTGTTGTTGTTATTTTTATTCTGCTCGTGGTCTTGGCGCAAAAGAAATAAACAAAATAAATAATTCATAATGCAAATAGGCAAAACACAAAAAGACGGTGGCGGCGTCGACGACTACGGCGCTAAGGCAACGAGGAAATAAAAGCAGCCGCAGGCATTGCCCGACCTCCAGCATCGATGCCATCGTCAACATTGCTGCAGTTACCGCCTTCCTGCTGTCTGGGAGGGGAATGAGTGGCAGACTCCCACACAGAAGATACAGACCCAGACCCAGATCCAGACTCAGACTCAGACTAAAGAACTTGGGCAATCTGTGTTGGCGGTGTGTACATAAGCGCTTTTGAGGCGAAAGGATTACCAAACGAATCAGGCAGTCGTCCTTTATGGTCTGCTTTGTTGTTGTTGCTGTTCGCTTACTGCATGGGGCTTTTGATTTGGCGAACCATGCCAAAGCACAGCAGAACCAAAGCTACTGGGTTACTACAACCCCTCCAACCCTCTGCCAACAGAAGCTTGAGTTACACGACCGTGGCCATCTGCGCTGCGAATGCGGAAGATGTCAAGTGGAAGTTGTTGTAAATCGTTGAGGGGCACATATTAATACACTGAGAGAAATATTCAAATTATTGATAATTAATAATTTCTCTAAACAAATTTTAATTCAAATTTGTTATCTAGCCTGACAAATTAGTTTATCGCATTTATTTATAATTTATTTTTTTCTTACCTCATCCAATATTTCCAGGGCGTGGATAATTTATTAAAGTGTACAAGCTGGATTTATTTTGACACATAATGTAGTGGTGTTGAATGTCAGAGGGATCTGTTGCATTCGCTTGCCTTGCAGCTATTACTACAGCGTATTTATAATAATATATAATATAATATAAGAATTTCATTATTTTTGGAAATTCTTCAAACAAATTTCAATATGTATTTTCAATCGCATTAAAAAATTTTGCTGAATTTTTGTCTTCTAAAGAATATTGAGGCGAATTCATGCAGTCTCGTTAATTTATTCTATCCGACCTATTATTCTATTAATCAGAGCGTTTTTCAAAACATAAATCGTGTTTTACAAATAAAATAGTCTTCAAAAGCAAAACAAATATATATATTTTTTTTTGCGGTAGTATTTATGTATCGAATCTTCTCTCTTAGAGATTAACGACAAGTAAGCAAATGTGATTCTTATATATTTTTTAAATTAATTACAATTAATTATTTAAAGTGCGGCCCAAACTTTTATTACTGGGTGGGGAAATGTCAGCTTAAAATTTATATCTTTACTTTCAACTATATTTGATTATTGTTTTCAAAACTATAATGATATTGTATGTATGCCGTAATTGTTGGCTATGTTGTTGAATAGCATTTCAAGGCTTAAATTTAAATAAATTTTAATTTAAATATGAAGAGCTTATTTAACTTACTGCGCAAGCCAATAAATCGGCATATCGAAGTTTAAATTTTGATGATGCTCAACTTATCGGTATCTATACCAAAGACTTATTTACTTAACATTTTTGGAAATAGTGGTAAATATTTTTCCACATAGTGTATTTTGCTTTTGGGCACACACTTGCACACACACACATATTATACAAGCTTATGGCCATGTAAAACTAAGCCACGGTTAAGGGTTTTACGGCTTAAAATAGTCGAGCAGCCACGGCAACAACAAAAAGCCAACGCGGCATATATTAAATAAAAAATGTAAAATCTTTGGGGCATGGGGCGGGTCGGGGGCTAAACTAAAATAATCAAAAAGTGGAAAGCAGGTGGAAGCAAAGGCAACAGCAAGTGTAATCGCCGTTCTACACACACACACACACACACACACATACTCATATATAGTATAACACACAACATGGTATGGAAAAAAAAAATGCAACAAAATCGGATTAAATGCGCCGAACTTAAAACCCGCCCGTGCTCACCCACTGAGAAGCAGAAGCGCAGAATAGGGGCCAAAGCCCAAAGCCAAGCTACTGCCTTATGGTTGGTGCTATTGCTGTTGGGTTGTTGTTTTTGTTTTTGTTGCACTGGGGTGCACTGTTAAAAGAGATACAAATTGCAACAAGACGGTTTTTTATAGTTCAACGATGGATTTACGATGTTGCACGACTTTGAACTACATTTGTCGAGGTTGATCCGTTGCTAAAAGACGTACCGTAACGTTGGTTAACTTGGTCGCTGGCTATATTGCCGCAGTAGCAAAAAGAAAGCAAGAGCCGGAAAAGTGATAGTCTTAGGTCATGTCGATGCTCTGATACCCTTACAAAATCTCAGTCTTTAGCATCGATAAATATAAAGAAGGAAATAAATAGAAAAATCTGAGTATTATACAAATATTTAAAATTGTTGATAACAAATTAAAGATAGGTTATTAATATCGTTATGCTATTTATTATTTACTATTTATTTATCATTTAATTTATTCTGTAGTTAGTCGGTCAACTCCATGTATCCAAATGTGAAATAATATTACATAGTTTTTATTACCGATTAGCCTGAATTGAATTTCAATACAAACTTTCTTGTGTTCTGTTGTGCAAAGCACATAATAATTTAATGAAGAAACCTAAAAAAATGTATTGAAAACAGATTAAGATTGCTCTTGAATTTATAAAAACAATTTATTTATTTTGTTGCGGATTACATATTCAATTTAACGAACAATTACACACATTTCCACCTTGAATTTATGTTTGCAAAAATTAATTATCGAACTTTGTTTTGAAAGGAAGGACACTTAACATTTGTACTTAATAGAAGACTTTTCGCAATTCACCAACTATTGACATATTTGGAGTTTGATATTGAAATTTTAAAATCTACAATGCATTGATAATTTTAAAATGGTAATGAATATTTCGAAATGTACAAAACGCGCTTTCATTCGTTTACAATAATTGGTTAGCGATTGGATTTGAGTATCTCTTAGCAACATATAGTGTACGAATTACGATACAAGCTGGCTACTCTAGACAAAATATACTATATGTTCTGAGAGAAAAGAAGTGCATTTGTGTGGGTTGTGTGCACAGTTTTGTGACAAACTTAAACTACTCTTTTGATGCAAAGGGCATAAAAAGGAAATTGTCTAGTTTGTTAAACGGCTCTTTGGGTAAGTATGCGAGAATTGGGGATGGGGTGATAAAGTATAGGGAGAGGGCGGTATGGGCAGGGGTAGGGTAGGTTTCTGCCACTACACTTGCCTGTGCGTTCGACCGTTACGGCTGTTGATGGCGTTCGCTCGTAAAAGTCGCAACTTGCCAAGGCAACTCAGATGAAGTACATAGTAGATGCATGGCCAGGCGCCAGTTGCAAGTGCCATCAAAATGGCGAAAAAGGCGCACATAATGCGGCCATAAAACGGAGTATCGTTGGATGGGCGGTAGTTGGGTGGTGGTGGTGGTGGTGTGCAACAAAATTGCAGCAACATTCTAAGCCATTTTACGGTCACACTCCCTGGGCGACGTGACGCGGTCTCAGGCTGGCCAAGGAAATTACGGATTCAAATTAGCGGCACTCAATCTCAATCTAAGTTGTGCCTGGTTGCCTGCTTGCCTGTTTGCCTGTTTGCTGAAGTTGCCGCTGCTACTGCACTCAACCGCCAACTAATGCATTTTA